TCTAAAATCTATCCTTATCAAGAAAATGAAATGTATGGACATGCTCCATCTGCACTGCTACTGGAGCTTGTCAATGATGAAATTGAATGGGAGGTTGAGTCAATCATCAATCACAAGGTTGACAGGCACCAAGGTAAATGACACTACCTGGTAAAATGGAAAGGGTTTCCCCATTCATCAAATACTTGGGAGCCCAAAGAACATATAAAAGACCATGCATCAGAAGCCCTCTCCCAGTAAAAACTCACCCAACACCTTTGAAATTAAATGGACTCCCCTTGCTCTGTCAACACAGAAAATGACTATGCTGACCTCCCTTGCCCCACAGAATCCTTTCAGTACTCCTCAGATGACAGGGTCATTCCCCCTGTCGCCATCTATGCACTGACCTCTCCCCCAACATCCCCCACTGGCTTTTATGTCTCCAGGTACTCGTCGCCTAACTCGCAGCCCTGCTTGCTATTGCCTGCTGTCCCCAGGGCTGGCAGACTGTGCCCACTCCAGGGTTTCTCAGTCAGATGCATCCCAGCCCCCTCAGCCAGAGTCCCCCTTGGTGGCAACAGTAACCGAAAGGGAAAGGGTAAAGCATGCTCTGATGATGACCCTGATACACCAGCAGCCACCAGTGGTACCACCAATGCTCCCGAATCTACTGACCTTCGCTCCACCTTCACCACTTACTCTGACAGCACTCAACATGCAGTGCTCGACCTCCTTGCAACAGCCACCACTGCCTGGCTTGACCAGCAGTGACTTCCAGTCTCAGCAAGTGACTACCTGGACATTGTTAGGGCACTTGACATCTTCCACAATGGGGACAACATTGACAGGTGCTCACCAGAACAGGTTGAGTATTTTGGGCTGTTGTCTCAAATCTACAGAGTGTCAGACATGATCAACAGGCTAGTCTCAAAGATACACACGAGGAAGCTTGCCAGTACAGTGCCCCTGTCAGAGGTAATAATGATTGACATGCTGGAGAAGGCCTCCTTGGCTCTTACCAAGGTGGTGGCTGGGGGAGCTTACCACCACCTACAAAGCCAGCAGATTGGAGAGTTCCTGTTGCCTGCCACTTCTTGGCTCCTGGATCACATCAAACTGAAGCAAGACGAACCATCAGCTTCAGGAAAGTTAAAAGAAGACATCATGGATCAGGATCAGGAGAAGCAGTGGCATGCTGTGGAGTTAGGGTTCATTGACTCAGGCAAATTGTTTAAAGAGGTCAGTGTGTGACTTGGAACAGGGACTCATAACTCCGCTTGGGAGGTTCTGTTGCAGGATGTGTCATGGGCTGGCATGCACAAGAGCTACCATAATGCTGTCCATGCCTCCAATCCTCTCCCTGCAACTCCCTTCATCCCTGTCCCTACTGATCAACTTCAGTTTTACCTCAGAGGGCAACACCCCATCCCTGCTGACCATGTCCTGTACCAGCACACCTGCTACCAGTGTTGTTACCTGGGACATTGGTCCTGCTGCAACAGACCTGGCTCCCACTATACTCTGGCCCTCGAGGAACTGCCATCTCCATCACCACCATTGCCTGTCACATCTTGGATGCATTCCCGTGTCTATACTACTCGCTGACCCCTTTCCGTTTGCCCCACCAATGCGAGTTCCAGCCCATCCTCAAGGGTCTGAGGACCTTAGAGGGGGGGGTGATGTTATGCCTCCATCAGGGGTCCTTCCTTTTTTGGATCCTCGTGGTCATGTGTGTCACGTGCCTGGTTGTGTTGCTAATAACTGTCACCATCCTAGGGGCTCAAATGCTCCAGGGAACATTTGGATCCCCGACTGTCAAGGTATTTCCAATACCTGTTGAGACCACATTGCCACTGTGATTCAGTGTTCCACCACCCTCTCTGATGGATGACTTGCTTACTTCTTGTTCTGTTAACTCGTCTCTGACTCATTTATGTTGCCCTTATGTTGTACTATAGATCCGGTGTCAGGCTCCTCACTGCACATTGATTGCACCAGCTGACATAGCCTTTGTCTCCCCCCCTGTCCATCAAATGACACCATATGACTCCTGTTTATTTGTCTGATTGCTCTGTTGATTACTGTGGATACATGTCATGACTGCTGTGGTACACATACTTAGGGGTATATAATCCTATGTACTTTGACCTGTATCTGCAGTTTTTCGATAGCTTGCAACTGAGCTTCATCCCTCTGCTTTAACTCTCATTCTCTCTCCATGTGAACAACCTCAGGGACTTGCCAGTAGACAGAACCTCTGCCAAGTTACTGCGATAACTCAGCCATAGGGGTTACAACAAGTTCAGCCTGTAGTCTCCCCCTTGCATGCTTTGTGCCTATTCCATTTGAAGAAGTCACCACACTTGGGCATAACACAAGCAAAGTTTAATCCACTGTAAGCAGCCCTTCCCAAGTTGGTTAGCTGTTCTACCCAATGTGCACCTGTGTGACCTTCTTTGTAATAAGTACTTACATATTATGCAGACATATATTAATCTGAGAAATACAGCAGAGCTGAGCATGTGAGACAATCTGACATAGGCAGCATTTTCACATGACCAATTGGTAGCTCCCTCAGGCTACTCTGGGTACTAGGGTAGCTCCCTCAGGCAACTCCAGGTACTAGGGTAACTCCCTCAGGCTACTCTGGGTGTCACATGAACAACTGGATGTTCAAAACACATATTAGTACAGACTGGCATACAATGCAACCCCCTACTTTCTCATGCATCATGCTCACCATTGCGAAGAACTATACTGGAGGCAACTCATGAGGATGAGGAAATGGCAGAGGGAAATGAAGATGAGGAAGATGAGGAACTGGATGATGAGTTAGTTGAGTCTATATTTCATGTGTGCCCTCACTGACAATCAGGCATAAGTACTGCAATGACCAGAATACACCAAATCTGAACTTCTGTCCTTTGCCTGCCAACCCACCCAAGATGATTTCATGACTAGCGAATGTACTGTAATTCCACACAACACATAATGACTGTAGTTCCACTGAGTTGTGAATCCAAAGTCAGTCATGTGATGACTTCTCTGAGTGCAACTTACATAATCCCCTGCTTGTGTGTGCTGCATCATAACTTCTTCTTAATGCTGTCAGACTCACCTGGTCCCATGTGGTGCACATGTGTGGATACCCACTGTTGTGGGCCCTGCTTGTGCTCTCACAAGCCTCTGAGTATTGTGGTGCACATGTGGGGATACCTGCCATTGTGGGTCCTGCTTGTGCATTCACAGGCCTCTGAATATACCCTGCAACATGCAAATGGACATTTGGTGGTGACAATGATATTGAATAGGTAACTTTCCATCTGCTGCTTTGTTGATTTTTTCCCCCAAACTGTCTGATATCTCATTGCCTTGTCAGTTGCAGGCACATCCAGGATGTGCATGCTCCACAACTACCTCATTATCATCACACTCATACTTCCCCACCTGCTACAGCTGCCCTTGGCGAGTCAAGTCCACCCATGCTAAATTACCACATCATACCTGTCAACATCAGCCAGCCAACTGTTGTCTTGGTGGGTCCCTTTTTGGTACAACACAGTTGACTCTTATCTAAGACTCATGTCCTCACCCTGCTCACATCTCCTCTGACATTCCAGACACATCCACAAAGTTTGTGGTTCTCAGCTGGGTGCAACTCTCCTCATGACTTTCACACACACTCCCATGTGGTCTTGTGGCCATGGTCACTCACACTTGTGTTCTTGGTCAAGGGACATCCAGTCATGTTCATGGTCAAGTGCACATTTGAAGGATAAGCCAGCAGTGTGGCTACATGCCCAACATCCCAAATGATAGTGCAGCTGCAGTCATGTGTCCCAATGCTCTCATTCATGTTGGGCAGTTGAGTCAGGGCAGCACTAGTGGCAAGGTGGTTCTGGGTATCAATTATCTTGTGATATGAGATCATGCACATGTTTGGTGCAATGCATGACTTGTAAGTACCTATTTTACTGTAAGTACTTGGTTGAGAAACTTACTTATGACTGTCCATAAACAAGGTGTCTGCCACTAGTGACAGGCGTCACTATCTTCTATTAGTTAGCTATGAACATTTTACTTAAGTTAGATTATAGATATATCATTCTCCCCTCCCATGCAAGTTGGAGTTCAGACTCATGATTAGAGAATGCAGGAGCTGTCTTGAAGCTTGAAGCATGTTCCTTTCAAAGGTTCTTTGGCTGCACATTTGGGGACAACTGCCATGAGGCCCACATACAAAGAACATGTCAGTATATGAATGCTCAAGCTCTGGATGTCAAGTTAGTCCCTACCCTCAGTCATGAGGTACTACACTCATGGATGAGCCAACCACATATGTAGTCTGCACATCTTTGCCAGACTAATCCAATGCTAATGACACATGATCCTGGTTGACAGCTTTCCCAGCTCATGCCTGTAAGGGTATGCCTTACTTTGTGATCCATCTTTGATATAATCTCACTGTGTCTGGCTGCTTCAGGATATAGTGACTCTTACAACTGAAGACTCTCTTGGCAAGTTTGCAGCCCAGGCATCACAAAGTCATGTAGTTGTGTCAGGAGTGAGGTCTTTTCATGTGAAGTTCAATGCTGGTCTTGCAGCCCTTTGAGCACTCTGCCAATGTCTTGCACTGCTCTGGCATCTGGAAGACCTTGAACTTCATCTGACCAGGTTGTCTCATTCATCCTTGGTTCACATCTTATGTTCTGCCAACTTCAAGACTCTGCAAAACTTATCCACAAATGCACCACACACTGTTCTATGCCACTTCCTCCCCAAAGCAAAAAAATGTGCAGTATTTACATCTACTTTCTTATTGTGGTGATCTGTGTCAATTGGACAACACTCCCTTTCTGCATCTCACAGATGCAGCTGCTGCCACAGTTTGTGTTGCACCCCTCATCAATCACATGTGTGTGGAGCACCTCAGTGTCATAGACTTAGGGCCTGAGGACAACACAGCATTCCCCCAGATGTTAAAGTCGTTGGCCTCATCTGCTTCAACACTAACCACATTACACATTGACTTCAATCCAGCTGACTGTGATATACTAAGGTGCATCAGTGAAGTTGCACCTAAACTTACAGCTCTTAAGCTGAATGAAAAGGAATTCCTTTGGGTTCATGTTTTGGCTGGTATTGGCATCACATGGTCTAATGTATGCATCAGGGCTGCTCTCCTCACCAGTGTCATTCTTGGAATCACTCTACTGAATGGCAGGATGATTTGAGGCATTTCCCTCATCTCCACCAATTTTTATTACATACCTCCATGTCACTCATGATGACACCAAGCACCAAATACCAGGAGTTGGCTCTCCTCCATGCTTGGACTTGCATCAAATCAGCACCCCATCCTAACTTGATGTATATCACACTCTGGTATCTGGCAGGGTTGCCAAGTTTTGAAGGATGCTGTAGGTATCCTCAGTAGTGCAACAAGCTACTGATGTATTAGACCAACCTGTAGGTATCTACAGGATATCAGTAAGTATAATACTGGTAGTGAAAGTGAGCTTACCCTCAGTAGTGCAACAAGCTACTGAGGGAACAGTGAATAAACTACTGTAAAATGTGCGCTCTAAGGTGATTATGTAAGCACCCAAACATCGCACCAAAGTGAGCAGAACACAGGGGAGAATATATCTCCAACACCAAGTGCTACACTTAAATGTTGGAAGCAGGAGGCCAGGAATGGCATAAACTGGGTCCTCCAGGTGCACATGATTCCACCAGAGTGGGATCAGTTCACATAACAGATATGAAGGCTTTACATGGACTCTTGTTGTAGTAGTTGTATTTCTCAGTCAAGAACTGTTAATGAGTTCCAATGCTCAAACTAGATAGTAAGCACATAGTTGCAGAGGTAACTCAGTAAGCAGAAGTGAAGCAGCAGTACTATGGCAGGCTGATGAGTACAAATACCTGGACAGAAAGAAAAGGTGATACAAATGGACAGGAAAAGAACTGGGACCACAGAGATGGCCATTCACATCATCATAGTGGGGCTGTTGTCATTGTCCAATGGTGGTGTTAGCCATCATTGTTGTCATACTGGGTGGTGGGGCCATCATTGCTCTAGTGTGAGTGGTCATAGTCGTAGTTTGGTGCAGTCACAAGTTCACAACACTTCCGAAAATTTCACTAACTCAGTTTATTCATTTACAAGCCCTGACGACCTGTGGGTGTCTACTTGGTCTGCACTGGTCTGTAACTCAGCTGACATTCTGACTGGCAGATGCCATCAGACCATATCAGATGCACCAGACACAGGCTTCATAACTCTACTGAAGCACTGAGTGACCATGTATGTTGCTTCCTGCTGAAATGTGACTATTGTCTGGCCTACATGCTCAATGATTACATAACATCGACTGTTGCTCAGGTGGTGTGCTCATTGTCACCAAAGGAATGTTTGAGCCAGATACAATCTGCTGCTTCCCCACTCTGGAAAGGTCAGACACACTGCCATCATTGGCTTTTATCCCACTTACCTGGTCACTACTAGTCGCAAGCAGATATATAACTCTTCACCATTGAACAAGCAGCTGGAACCTTTAGGCTATGATTGAGCCAGTGCACAAAGTTGTTTTTCATGTGGCATCACCTCCACCTGTGGGGCAGGAGCTATAAATAGATGTGAGCATAATAACACTGTGAATTGATTCCAAGTATCCTGACTATCCACCAGGCCATTCCAATCTGTCAACAGACTTTCATACATCCACTTCAACAAAGGGTAAAAGGGGCCACCAAGTACATTGTCATAATTCCAACATCCTTCTTTAATTAAAAGTGCAATTGTCCTCAAAGATCAAAGGACACTAACTGGAAGCCCAAGCAATGCCTTGGTGTTGCCAATAATTCTTCCATTATAATTACCAGTCATCATCAGGGGTTAGTTGATAGTTGATTGAGCGAATACAAATTATTACTGACCAATGCTGCATTAGCCAACATGGGGGGAATCAAGGTAATGCATCCCTCATGTCCCTAGTTCTATTTGAAGTGTCTCAGCCAGACATGCAGATGTGAGTAAACTTCCATATTTCCAGCACTGCTGTCAGCCCAAGCTCATATTATCATTTTACTAGCTGTAGAGCGGCCAGCCCTAGCAGTCATAGAACCACAGATGCAGTGTGATTTACATGCTCATCCAGCCTCTGTGATAGCCATACCTTTGTAGATCCTCCAAAGCCATTGTGGTGCTCTCAGGAGACTCCTGGTACTTTTCAAAGGCACAAGAAAGCTATTCAAAGCCAGGAGGATACTGTGTCTTGGTACTTCTCTCACAGCATGGAGCCAATAGATATTCCCCCATCATCAGCTAACAACTACAATAACACTTTAACTGATGGTGACCTGTTTATTCACTGTCACCAATCTAGCATACAGGTTTGATTATGGGAAGGGTTATGGACACTGATCAAGGAAGGTCATCCACATCCTTGCATTGAAGGTTATTGCCTCTCAATACTCCATGGTAGTGAGCCTAGTTGGGTGACTAGGAAGACAAGGACTACATATGCTTCGAAGAAGAGGAGAAATTAAATGTAGCACATGGTGATGCTTGCAGAGGAGCTTTGGTAAGGTATAGTAATTCTCATATTAAAGGACAATTATATCTGACACTCAATGCTTGGCTTTCCACTGCTGTCTCCTGCATGTCAATGACGAAATTGATATCAGCAGGTTTTACTCTTCTCACATCTGCAAAACTACCCAAGGGGATGAACAGCATATGGATGCCTCCATTTGGAAGTGACTTGTTGTAGTGCTCCTTTCGCACTTGGTAAAACACTTATTGGCCAATGAGAGGGCTTGCTCAAGTACGAAAGGCTTGTCAACAGCTATGTCGTGTAGCTGTTTCCCAGATGCACAACCAGCATGTCACAAGCCAGTACAAGTACAACTTGTCCCCACCATTGAGTCCCTCATATGTCCCACTTCCTCCCCTCACCATCACTATGGTATAGTGCACTTCTCTACTCCCTGAATTTCTCTAGTTTCTTTTTCTGGCTTTCCATTATGCAGACCCCATGTTATTAGTGATGGCAGCCATAGGACTCATGCACACCTGTTTCGAGGGCTCCATGTACCTCTTTGTACTCCTCTGGGTACTCTCTTTACAGGTGTCTCCTACGTTCCAAGCTATACCCCTTCCTCTGGGATATATTTTCCTCGTTCGTGATCTCTGATTCAGATCTCAAGAAGTTGTCAAGAATTTCAGATATCAGAAGTCAAAACAGAAGGACACCAGAAACTGTGTGAGTGCAGAAGTTTGTCACACTTTAAGTCCGTAATTAGGATGGTTTCGAGCCTTGGTGGGTGTTCGTGACAACACAGGTATGTTACCTTTGATTCTCTGTGCTTCGGCAGTCATGCTGACTTGCCACTCCAGTCAGCTGTACTTCCATGAGTCGCTCCAAGTTGCTGTTGCTGTTGCCAGCTATGCCGTTGTCGTCACCTCACTCGCTGGAGCCCTCTTGCAGCATCACCATTGCACAATCTTGCTCAGGTCGCACTTTCATGACTCCCACTGTCCTTCGAGGCTGTCAATAGGGTCTTGATGGCTCGTAGCATCGCATATCTGTACAGATCGTTCAGTAGGTGAGATAGGATATTCGAGGTCGGTCCTCAGTAGGTCTAATGCATCCCAGATTGCCTTATCATGCCATCATGTGCACTGATCTTTGTCCATAGGCTTTTTGACTTTACTCTGGGTGGTATGGGTTTCCAATCAATTGGTATGGTCTCACACAAGCTTGGTTGCGTTATGGCGACATTAAAGTATATTTCGTGGTGGTTTGGTCTCTGTGCACTGATGACTCTCATGTCTAGCTGACTCATTCGTGCAGCCGTACATCCCATTCCTGAAGTTGTACGTAGTCTTTATGTTGTTCGAGGAGTGTCACAGATGCAATCAGTTCTGCAAATGGGCGGACTCTGACTTCGACAAGGTTGAGGCCACGACTGGGAGTGTGAATAATCAATTCCATTGTTGTTGTGTGCTCTCTCAGGGTAGGGCTAGGTCCGTGGTCCATACTCAAACCATCATTCATTCACTTTCTTGCTTCTTGTTGCTGACACCCATACCTGTTTTTTGCTCTGTTGTTTCCACTCACCAGATCCCATGTGTCTGCACACAGCCAAATATGTGGCATCATTGTATGCTGTATATTCCCTTGTTGTCACCTGCGGAACAATCTACTCCTGTGGTAAGGAACTAATCCCCAATCAATGTGAGATGGGATGATGGACTGCCACCCTTCTGTATGCTGATTCTACTACAGGAGCAACTTGTGTACTGTGGACTTGTGGACTTATTGCATGACAAAATTGTGTACTACAAACTTATTGCATGACAAACCTGCATACAGTGGACCCACTGCCTGACAAACTTGTGTGCTGCAAACTTACTGTGTGATGAACTTCTGCACTCATGGAGTGTCTGGTGTCTTCCTAAGTCCAACATTCATGGTACACTCCAGTATTCCACTGAGGGCACTTGCCCATTCAGGAGTGTGATTGTCCAGCTTTCCATAGTCTTTATCTTTGCAGACTTTGTATGCACTACTCCCACATGCTCTTGTGATCTTACATTGGAGTTCATGACAGGTCACTCTTGTATGCACTGAGTAGCACAACCTGCTGTATAAAGATTGAAGAATGGTGAAGGATAAGGTGTATCTATGCATGTGCATCACTGTTGGCTGTGACAAGGAGAGAACCTGGTCAGAGGCACATGGAAGTTATGTTGCTGGTGTGCAAGTCTCAAAGGCCCTGTATTTTTGCCATTGAAAGCTGGATCAGTGGGTATTTGAATGCTCCAGTGATGAAACTTTCCCCCCCAACTGTCCTCTCAGTGAAGCAAATAAAAATTCATGAATGAGACTCAGTTGGAAGAGAGGATGAAGGGGGAGCATCCTCTGCTGTATCTTGCAGCAAGAGGGCAAGATGTGCATCATACTCCTCATGGATGTGATCAGGGAGAGTGGAGAACAGTAGATTATACTGTAGCTGTCACAATTTTGGAAGAATGATGGATGAGACTGGTATGAAGACATTGCAGGGAGCAGGGAGGAAGGATTCATATGCTTCTTGGACTGGAGAGACTGAAACAACCACATAAGACCTTTCTAACTGAATGACAGACCTGAGGCAACCAAAGAACATCCCCCTGGAGATCATACTGACAAAAAGAACATGCTGTCCAAGCTGGATGGGCTGAGAGGTGGCAGACAAGGATGGGATGTACCAGGATGCTTCAGGATGGAAGCTAGTAGGAACCCCTGGTAAATATACATAGCCATGGTCTCTAGCAAAGGGGACAAGCAAGATGATTGATGTAGAGGTGGCCATATCAGAAGAATTAGCAAAATGAGCATCTGTTGGAAGGAGTGCTGTAGAAATGTGTGGAGTGCAAGGATCTTTCCCAACTTTGGAAGGTGGGATCACATGGCAGAGCATTATAAGCAAGTGTGGGAATGGCATCAGTATCTGTGGAAATAGGGGAGATATGTCAAAAATTGGAATGCCATACATGGGTGCTAAGAATTTTTATAGGTGCTTAACCTGTTTCCTTCTCTTTTCTTTGGCACTGACAACTCAGTCTTGTGTGAAGGATGACTGCCAATGTTCCTGGCTGTCTTTCTTCACATTAGGGCTCTAGTCTTTTCATCTCCATTCATCAGCATTATCTATGTCCAAGTCACCAAACACCTCTGGTGTGTGACACCAAGGGACATGTTCTCTGGGATCATGCATGCTACCAGTGCCATTACCTGGGACACTGGTCTTGTCAGAATGGAAGAGGGTCACATTGGACTCCCATGCTCGAGGAGCTGTCCTCTCTGTCACCCATTGACATGCATACCTGCTCTCATACTCACACCACCTGCTGACTGCTCACATCTGCTCCTACTGATAGTTCACACCCTTTGTCCTCAAGGGTCTGAGGACCTTAGAGGGGGGGTGATGTTATGCCATGAACAGGGGTGTTGCCTTTTTCAGTTGTTGCTGACTTTCATTGTGGTCACATGTGTCATGTGCCTTGTCACAACTTTCACACTAATGCTCATCCTTGGACACCTGTATATCAAGGGAGGCCTAGATGCATTTCTAGGCAACCAGCTGATCATCAATGCCACTGCTGTGAGTCAAAGTTTGGAAAGGTCATCTGAACCAACCAAAACCAACACCAAAGACAAATATGAGCAAGTGGTGGTTTGCCTGCATGGTACCTGGAGAGCAGAAAAATTGAATATGGGGGGGATTCTATAGCAGGTGCTCCTGGCACAAGTTGACAATGAGTTATGCAGGAGAGGACAAAAGAGTGATGACTGAGAAGGGGGTGCAGGCTAGAGTAATGAACTTTGATGACAGAGTGCTCCTGGCACAAGTTGATGAAAAGTTATGCAGGAGTAGATGAATGAATGTAATCTTGATGGGGGATGTGAAGGTATTCAGCCAAAAGGACTTCTGGTGCAAGTCAATGTTGAGTTACACAGGAGTGGGAGGATGACTAATCAAATGTGCTGACTAAGCACAGATGACACTTCAGATGAATGGAAATAGATAGACTCTTCTGAATGAGCCTCAACTGTTGATGATGAGTTAGGACTGAGATGAACTGAACTGATTACTGGGGGACTTCTTCTTATTCTCTCTGTAGCTAAGTACAGGGGGTTTATATACTGTGGGGGGAGTGCAGCTTATGACAAATGAGGCACAAACACTTGGTAAGTAATGAGTAAGCAACAAGTAATCATGATGAGTAAGCAAGAAATGAAAAGTAAGCAAGCAAAGAGGATTGGCAAGTATTGGCAATAAATGAGTCAAGGACAGTCAAAATATCACAGTATGAGTCAAAACCTGAGTAAGCACACTGGTATCACATTAGGGGGTGGCAATGCATGTCAGATCTTGGCAGAGACATCACTAGATCCAAAGATGGGATGACAGATGGACAGTGTTTCCAGATAGGGAAGTATTAATTCCAGAAAAGGATAGCATGAGTCAGCTGTCAAAGGGCTAGGGCATTGGGGGTCTGTGGGGCAACAGGAGCATAGGTGATTGTGTCTCCCACCCATTCATCCTCTCAGCAAAGTTAATAAAAGCTTCATGGATGGGGCTCTGATGGAGGAGAGAGAGAAGGAGGGATGCCTTCTGCTGGGTCTTGCAGTAAAAAGGCAAGATGCATGTCATACTCATCATGGATGTGATCAGGGAGGCTGGAGAACAGTAGATTATACTGCAGCTGTCACAATATGGGGAGAATGATGGATGAGATTGGAATAAAGACATTGCAGGGAGCAGGGAGGAATGATCTGTATGCTTCATCAAGTGGGGAGACTGAAATGACCACATAAGACCTTTGTAACTGAGTGACAGACCTGAGGTGACCAAAGAATGTCCTGCTGGAAGTCATACTGACAAGGAGTACATGCTGACCAAGCTGCATGGGACAGGATGGGGCTGACAATGATGGAATGAACCAGGGGGCTTCAGGATGGAAGCTGGTGGGAACTCCTGGCAGATATACATAGCCACTGTCTCTGGCAAAAGAGACAAGCAAGATGATTGATGAAGAGGCAGCCATATCTGATGGATGGAGTGCTGTAGAAATGCATAGGGTGTGAGGATCCTTTCCAAACCTGGAAGGTAGAATTGCATGGCTGAGCTCTTTAAGCAAGTGTGAGAATGGAGTTAATATCTTTGGAAATGGTGGAGATATGACAAAAACTGGAATGTTGTACATGAGCACTTGAAACTTTTGATGGGTGCTCAACTCACTTCCTCTTTTCTCTCTAGCACTGATGACTCATCCTTGTGCAGAGGATGACTGCTCACATCCAGCAGTCTTTCTATGCATGAGGGCTTTAGTCTTCATCTGCATGGCATAGTGCACAACTCATTGACAAGTTAGGCAGAGTCAGCTGTATCCATGTCCACAACACCTTAGGTGTGTGGCACCACCTCTGCCATGTGACTTGTGTAGACTCATTTCTATTTCATTGACCCTTGTATTTCATATGTTTCACCTTGACAGTTGTGATGTCTGGCCACCATGTTGTGCCTTGATGGTGCAGTCATCTGGCCCTTGTTTCCCTGACTATTTCCATCACTGACTCCATGTGACTCTTTTCTATTTCATCATTTATACTGCAGATAACTGATTGATTATGGATATGACTGGTATGGTACTCTCTCCAGGATGTATTTAAGTTGGACCCACCATACCATTTATCCTCAGTTGTTTGCTACTTTGCAACTCAGCTATTTCTTGATCTATCCTTGCTTCCCTTGTTGCAATCCCAATAGAACTCACTAAACCCAAGGGAAGACTCTGCCAGATTCATCACAGAAGTTGAGCCATAGGGGTTACAATAAGTTTGGCCTGCCAAGTTTGCCTGAAGCACTTGTGACTAGTCCATTTGACAAAGTCACTCACCTCAGAGCATAATAGTGAGGTTTTCCAACTGCTTCCCCAGCACTTTGCCACTCCTTAAGTTAATCTGCATGTTGCATATGTTGTTGCATAGACATGTATGCCCAATGACATGCACCTGCTTTAAGTGCATCAAAAAGGGTAGGGACATGTTCAGCATTTGTAGTGGTGCAAGGAGACTGGAATGGAACACTCTCCAGCCACCCAAGTAGCTTGATGCTGTATTTCTCCTTGATGGCCACCTCAAAATTGATAAAGTTGATTCAGATGTTTTCTTGGCAACAACACCTGTGTATATGCACACCTCAGGAGCTATTAGAAAGTAGGAAGGAATACTCACAGAGACCAGAATTAAGAATGTGGGCACACATTTGCTGCATGCCTTCTATGGAGTTGCACTCCCCAATGTTTGTATGAACAATGTAATTCAATACTTAGTAGCTACTCAATGCTACTCTTGACCTACTTTTTCCATGCATGCATGCCCACTGTTCCAGTTTATGAATGATTTCATCAGGCTCAAGGTTGTCAAGTCCATGGTGTCCAGGTTCAAGACTGGACCAGAGACTGATGTGGGCATGCAAGGCCAAAGGGTCAGGAGCAGGAGGGGAGCAGAGGTACAGAGGGTGGACTGATTGGACTTAGTGACTGAGGATGCAGCACTATTCCCTTGCATGGGTTGCAGTCTGAGTCCAATGTGGGACACTACCCCTGGGTAGTGTGCAATTAGGGGGAAAGCTGTAGGGAAATCCCTAGGCTTGACCCAAGGGGTGCTGAGTAGGAAGGAGACACAGAATATGATGGTAGAGTTGATCAGGAAGTAGAATGTAGGGCATGGATTTTAATTCTGCAGTGTTGTAGATGATTTGGGTCCGAAAAGACTTGTATATGAAATTCCCAGTGATGATCTTGGCATGAAGAAGTAATTCTGAGACTCATTAGACACAAAGGTGAGACACAGATACACAGGGAACATAAAGACACAGTAGATGCAGATTGACACTAGAAATGCAGATGACACAGTAGACACAGAAGATGCAGCAGACACTTTGAACACTTAGACATGCAAATGACTTGGATAGTGACTCCAAAAGATGGGTGGTATATTTCTGACATCATGGTGGAATTATATAGTACAAGGGAAGTAGGTGTGAGTTAGAGTAAGGTGGGGTGGAAAAACTAAAAGACTGGAAAATAAAGGAAAGGACATCAGACATCAGTGAAATACAGATGCACATGAAATAGTCTGGTGGGTAGTAGACAAGAGTAAGAACAGGACAATGGTAAGGGGTATCTTCCAACAGAATGAGAGTATGTGTACAAGTGGGAGGTGGAGCTGAGTGGCACATGAGGGCAGAGCATAGCATACTGGCATGAAGTCCAGCTTGCAGAACTTGGGGCAACAGGGGAAACTGGAGTTTTTTTAGAGGTAAGTGGCACAAATGACTGGTGATGTGGCTGAGTGGTGGCACAGCTGCTGAATTCTGGGTGACTCTGCACAAATGTGGAATTTCCAGATCAGTGTTTTGATGACTGAGCAACATGCTGAAGGTTGGTAGAAACTCAGGGAGGAAACATGAGGACATGAGTGGGAAAAACTCCAAAATGGGTTTGACATAGAGGCCTGTGGAATTTAGTGACAGATTCCTGTTCCAGCCTCAGGGAGTATATGGCTCCCTACACCAAGGCCAAGGTAGAGGATTTCAGGGGAGACTTATTTGATTTCAGACTGAGGAAGTACAGGTTGAGTATCTACAGCTTTATATACTGGAGACAAACTATAGTACAGAGATCAGTAATGCCAGTCTCACAAGGTTGCTAAGATGATTGGTAAGAATAGTATTAATAAGACATGACAAAGGTGACTGGAGACTGGGACAGAGACAAGGCAGGCTGGGGACAAGGCTGGGGCAGGGTCAACTGAGATGTCACCTAACAACAGTACTGCAAAGCAGTGCTCACTGTGCTAGACCAACTAGAGGTAAGAGTTTGCTGAGGCCAAGGCTGGACTGAACAAGTGTGAGGCCAAGTCTGGCCAGGGTCAAGGCACAGCTACAACAGAGGTCCATAACATCCTCCCAAAAGTCCATGACATTATCAGTTCTGTACCAGAAAGGCTGCAATGAGTCATAAATGTGTCCATGAGTGGCAAAGAGGCATTTTTATATTCCATTATGAGGGGCAAGTCCATCAAGCTATTGGAATTCAGTTGATGATCATAAGAATAGAATGTGGAACTCACTATTTTAAAAACATGTTCCAAGGTCAATGGTGCATCACAAGCTGCAGCAGAATTTGTAGTGTGAACACTTGTGTTCTTGAGAGTATGATATTCAGTGAGGCCATGTAACAATTCATCTTTTTCATCTTTAGTCATGTCCTGGTATTTGGGGTCCACCCTTGCCAACTCCTGAATCTGTTGGAGGGAGAGCTTCTCCCCATGAGAGCAACCTGTGATGCACAAGTTAGAGCTGGAAGATAAGAGCATCCAGAGTGGGAAATTACCTTCATTAACCTTGTTTGCCTTGTCATGAATAATGGCATTGGCCAGTTGCATGCTGTGTGGGTTCTAATAATATTTGTGACCACCCAGGAGCTTCTTGACCTTCTCACTTGTAACATATGTGTAGTCACAATGGCCTGTACCTTCATTTTGAACTCATTGGCTAGTGACTGGATGGCATTGTTCAGAAGCATGTCACAATCCCTCCATTGTGCTGCAGAAATTTGCCTTGATGCCACATGCTGTCAAGTATGGGTTTACCCTTGGGTGACCAGGCCTCAAGTCCAGGTGACAGGGGCTAAGTCCAGTTGATCAGAGTCAAGGCCAGAGGTCAGGGGCCAAGTCTGAAGGTCTGGAGTCAAGGCTGGGAGCACTGGAACAAGCCCAGGACTGTGGGAAACTGACTGGTCTTGGAGTCCACACAGAGGGAAGCCAGTCCAGGGTTGGATCTACCTCCCTTGGTCTCAGCTTATGTGCTGTACCCTTATGCAAGCCAGGAAGAGGTCCAGGACAGGGGTTGGGGATAGACTAAGGCTTGGCCTTAGCTATTGAGTAGACTCAGGGTAATACAGGGTTGAGGGTAATACTTAGTTGATATTCTGACTGGAGTGCTACAAAGTATGTACAGGGGTTAAATACATGAGGCCAGTCTGGAGTAATGAATATGAAGCCAGACTTGTTGGTAAGCTATTAAGAAGATGATTACCAAGGGGCAGATAGCCACAGAGGCTGTGCTGAGACTAATAGCCAAAGTCTGGGTAACCAGCATGACCAGAGTTGGATGCAGGATTTGTGCAGTAAGCAAAGGTCAGATGAAAGGACTAGACTAAATATAGCACAAACATCAGAGAACAGACCAGAGTTATGTCTGAGTGACCTGGACATGAACCTGGGAGGACTGGGGTGGAGCAGTGCAAGGCTGAGAGGCTAGAGTGGACCAGAGATAGGGGTAAAACACTGGACTTGAGTTATCTAGGCTGGAGTTGGGTTATTTAGGGCTGGAGTTGGGTTTTCTAGGTCAGACTACAGTGAGGGACAAAAGCATTGCAATGTTTGTGAGGTGTGAGTTGTTGCTGATGTAGCTTGGGCTATTCTGCATGGATAATCATGATACCTATACCAATGGAAAAGGGTGACTCTAAGCTTTCTGGAGCACTAAGGTTAAGCCAAAATGAAGCAATACATGCTGAGATACACCATATTCTTTCCAAAAAGTGCATTGCAATGCTTTTGTCCCTGAATGGTGAAATAGTGAAAAGTGACCTTTTGATGGGATTGAGGGCATGAAGGATGGGAAAACATGATTACATAATAAACCACATGATCATCCAGATGATTTGTCAGCATGTAAACAATGACAAACATTGGACTTGTACCATTAACCCTCCCTCTTTTACCACAACTCATGAAATCATCTCTCTAGCTCACATGGTCATTTTCTCAAGGAATTCTTATCAAATACTGGTGGCCACCACAGTGCAATCAGTATAAAATGCTCTCAGAACCATCAGTCCCTTAAAAAACCTGCTGTCAGTCATTTCCTGGACTATTTCCCCCCCATGCCTGAGACTAATCAGTACTTGGAAGGCTGAAAATGTTATGGAGGTCAATCTGTCACCTTGGAACATGATGGACAAACCAGTCCCCTCTCAACCAATGCATTTCTGGCACAGGAACACTGGTATGGAAGTTGGGGTGAGACAAAACCTCCTTGTGCTCTGAGCACCATAAGAGGGTTCACCAGATCTTGCTCTGATCTGAACTGTAGATGACTGGGGAAGGATTATTTGGTCATATGTGACCAAAGGCAATATTCAGGGCCAGATGGAAGCACAGGATTCTGCTCCATGGCAGTTCAGTAGCATATCCTTCTGATGACACCCAGGGGTAAAGAGGATTTTGTCTTGGCCTAACTTCCATACCAGTGTTCCTGTGCCAGAAATGCATTGGTTGAGAGGGGACTGGTTTGTCCATCATGTTCCAAGGTTGCAGATTGACCTCCATAACATTTTCAGCCTTCCAAGTACTGATTAGTCTCAGGCATGGGGGGGAAACAGTCCAGGAAATGACTGACAGCAGGTTTTTTAAGGGACTGATGGTTCTGAGAGCATTTTATAATGATTGCACTGTGGTGGCCACCAGTATTTGATAAGAATTCCTTGAGAAAATGACCATGTGAGCTAGAGAGATGATTCCATGAGTTGTGGTAAAAGAGGAAGGATTAATGGTACAAGTCCAATGTTTGTCATTGTTTACATGCTGACAAATCATCTGGATGATCATGTGGTTTATTATGTAATCATGTTTTCCCATCCTTCATGCCCTCAATCCCATCAAAAGGTCACTTTTCACTATTTCACCATTCAGGGACAAAAGCATTGCAATGCACTTTTTGGAAAGAATAGGGTGTATCTCAGCATGTATTGCTTCATTTTGGCTTAACCTTAGTGCTCCAGAAAGGTTAGAGTCACCCTTTTCCATTGGTATGGGTATCATGATTATCCATGCAGAATAGCCCAAGCTACATCAGCAACAACTCACACCTCACAAACATTGCAACACTTTTGTCCCTCACTGTAGGTTCAGACTTGACTGGAGATAGGGGCTAGGGGTCCAGACTGGATTGGGCTTGAGTCCAAGAGTCATGGATGTGACACATGCACACTGTGATGATCTTTCTCCACAGCAGAGAGTGGCTGATGAGGCTGCATGACTGGCCATCCAGGGTTTTGGGTAGCCCAAGTGGACTTGTTGCCTGCCACTGTGGGACACTACCTCTGGGTAGCATGCAAATAGGGGAAAAGCTGCAGGGAAATCCCTAGGCTCAACCCAAGGGGTGCTGAGTAGGAAGGAGATGCAGAATATGATGGTAGAGCTGATCAGGAAGTAGAATGTGGGGTGCAGATTTTAATTCCGCAGTGTTGTAGATGATTTGGGTCTGAAAAGACTTGTATATGAAATTCTGAGAGGCAATCTTGGCACAAAGAAGTAATTCTGAGTCTCATTAGACACAAAGGTGAGACACAGATACATGGGGAACATGAAGACATAGTAGACATAGATTGATGCTAGAAATGCAGATGATGCAGTAGACACAGAGGACACAGCAGACACTTTGAACACTTAGCCATGTGAATGACTCAGATAGTGACTCCAAAAGATGGGTGGTATATTTATATTTCTGACATCATGGCAGAATTATATAGTACAAGAGAAGTAGGTGCAAGTCAGAGTAAGGTGGGGTGGAAAAACTAAAAGACCAGAAAATAAAGGAAAGGACATCAGACATCAGAAAAATACAGATGCATGTGAAATAGTCCAGTGGGTAGTAGACAAGAGTAAGAATGGGACAATGGTAAGGGGTATCTTCCAGCAGAACAAGAGTATGTGTACAAGTGGGAGGCAGAGCTGAGCAGCACATGAGGGTAGAGTGTAGTGTACTGGCACAAAGTCCAGCTTGCAGAATTTAGGGCGACAGGGGGAAACCAGAGTTTTTTAGAGGTAAGTGGCATGGATGATCAGTGATGTGGCTGAGTGGTGGCACAGCTGCTGAATTCTGGGTGACTCTACATGAATGTGGAATTTCTGGATCAGCATTTTGATGACTGAGTGACATGCTGAAGGTTGGTAGAAACTCTGGGAAGGAAACACGAGGACATGAGCAGGAAAAATTCTGAAATGGGTTTGACATAGAGGCCTGTGGAACTCAGTGACAGATTCCTGTTCCAGCCTCAGGGAGTATATGGCTCCCTACACTGCTTTAACCACCAAGAATCCATCATTGCAAACATTGGGTGTGCCATTATTGGGAGGTGTACTAGAGGCAGTTACACCTGGTGTCACACACCAAAGGTGTTGTGGACATGGTTACAGCTGATTCTGCCTAACTCATTAACAAGTTGCATGCCATGCCATGCAGATGAAGACTAAAGCCCTCATGCATAGAAAGACTGCTGGACATGAGCAGTCATCCTCTGCACAAGGATGAGTCATCAGTGCTAGAGAGAAAAGAGGAAGCAAGTCAAGTGCCCATCAAAAGTTTTAAGCACTTGTGTATGGCATTCTGGTTTTCATCATATCTCCACTATTTCCAAAGATATCAACTCCATTCTCACACTCACTTAAAGTGCTCAGCCATGTGATTCTGCCTTCTGGGTTTGGAAAGGATCCTCACACCCTATCATTTCTACAGCACTCCATCCACCAACACTCATTTCACTAAGTCCACCAGATATGGCTGCCTCTTCATTGATCATCTTGCTTGTCTCCTTTGCCAGAGACAGTGGTTATGTATATCTGCCAGGTGTTCTCACCAGCTTCCATCCTGAAGTCCCCTGGTTCATCCCATTGTCATCAGCCCCATGCCATGCCATGCAGCTTGGTCAGCATGTTCTCCTTGTCAGTATGACTTCCAGCAGGACATTCTTTGGTCACCTCAGGTCTGTCACTCAGTTACAAAGGTCTTATGTGGTCATTTCAGTCTCCCCACTTGATGAAGCATACAGATCACTCCTCCCTGCTCCCTGCAATGTCTTTATTCCAATCTCATCCATCATTCTCCCCATATTGTGACAGCTGCAGTATAATCTACTGTTCTCCAGCCTCCCTGATCACATCTATGATGAGTATGACATGCATCTTGCCTTCTTACTGCAAGACCCAGCAGAAGATATCCCTCCTTCTTCCTCTCCTCCATCAGAGCCCTGTTTATGAAGCTTCTATTAACTTTGCTGAGAGGATGAATGGGTGGGAGATGCAATCACCTATGCTCCTGTACCCCACAGACCCCCAATTCCCTAGCCCTTTGATGCCTGACTCATGCCATCCATTTCTTGAATTACAGCAGTTTGCAGTACCAAGGGCACTGGCCAAACACAACAAAACTCATAGGTATCCTAGATAAAATATATATCTCAAATATTTCACTCAATTCTTGATGGATCTGAAAGAAAATTTGATATTCTGAATCAGCATTATCAGCTCTAGGGGATGATGTAGAAATCATGATGAAATAGCTGCTATTTTGGACAGGAAAAAATACTTGGTCATTCTGAGCATATAACAACAATTGCAAGTGATTTACACATTTCTATGGCTGTAAATGCCTCTAGCCATGATCTATACACTGGTGGTGAGGGAACCATGGTGAAAATCCAGTGGTTTTTCCATTGTTTTGTACCAACAGAGAGCAATCTACACTCCAAATGGTGCCAATCATGTAACAAAAATTGCTCACTCCACAT